ACTCAAAACCTGCACTGTAAACAGAGGCAGTCTTTCATCATACTCAAATCGCAACTTAACGTCAACATTCATTCTCATAAGAGGCCAAAACCCTAAGGTCGACAGGAAGAATCCGCCATCCAGCATAAATGACAGCTCCCTCGGCTCAGCGGCCTAACCAGGCGCTCCCGGGGAGCGAGAGGGGCCGGCCGAGGGCCGCAGCGGGAGCTGCTGGGACTTGTAGTTCGCCCGCGCCCGCCGCGGCCGTCGCCATCGCTGCCCCCGCCCCCCGGGCCAGCCTTTGTCCCGGCCCGGCCGCCCCGGCCGCGCGGCCGCGCCTTTGTGTGCGCCGCGCCCGCCGGCCCGCGCCGGCCCCGCGGCCGCTGTCGCGCCTCCCTCAGCCGCTGGGCCCGGGCCCTGGCTCTGCCCCTCTCTGCCCCTCTCTGTCTCTCTCTCTGCCCCTGTGTCTCATCCCTGTCTCTCCATCTCTGCTCCTGTCTGTCTGTCCCGTCTGTTTCTCTGTACCCCCTTGTCTCCATCTCTGCCCATCTCTGTTTCAGCCTCTTTGCCTCTGCTCCTGGCGCTTTCTCTACCCTCCCTCTTTGTCTCTGCCTCCTGCCCGTGTCTTTGTCCAAAAGACAGCACACACGACATAGCTCTGGCAGACCTGCCTTGCAAGTCGGCTCGGTCTCCAAGCATCTCTCTGCTTCATCCAAAAGTTCTCCCCCGACCCCCCATTTTTAAAATAGTGGCAGCTCCCCCGGCCCCCATGACGGGTGACCCCTCTGTAACACCTGCCGCAGAACAGAGGTGGGAGAGGGGTTACTCTCCCTTAGCGTTCCCGGCTCCTACCCGGGCTGCTGTGTTCCCTGGAAGACTCCAGGTGCCTGAGGCCGGTGTGGATTTTCTGGAGAGTTAAGATAGGGCCCCCACCCCAGGGCCCTGTCTCAACCCCACCTGGAGACTCGCAGATGAACAGCTGCCCCCACCCCCGCCCCCGGCAGCTGGCAGCTAGGCCGAGATGTTCTGGACCAAACACAAACAACGGTCACGGAATATCAACAATGATCAGACAAGGCCTCTCTGTGACCGTGCCTGCCCCGAGATACAGACAAGGACACTGCAACCACGAAAATGAACACACACACACACCCCTCTCTTGGCTCCCACAAGTGACTGCCGCTTCTTGCGGATGGATGGTTCCAGCCTGGTGGCCAACCTCCTGGCTCCGGATTAAAACAGCCACCGAAATCCCAGTCACCCACCTGCTTCTTGCATGCCCCAGACCTGCATCAGGTCTCCCCTAAACACCTGCACACACCCGAATTCTCCAAGAAGCCCATTTGCCCCCAACTCCCTGGTATTTGATCTCCCTTGTGAAACAAGCTATGTAGGCTTAAAAAAAAAAAAAAACTACAGGTGGTTTTTAATTAGTTATTTGAGAGGCAAATGGACAGAGCTCACATCTGCCCAATGGCCAGGACTGGACTGAGCCAAAGCCAGGTGTCAGGAGCTCCATCCAGGTCTCCCACATGGGTATAGGGCCCCAAGTACTTGGGCCACCTTCCACTGCTTTCCCCGGCCATTAGCAGGGAACTGGATTGGAAGCAGAGCAGCTGGGACTTGAACCAGTGCCCATATGGGATGCCTGTGTTGTAGGCAGCAGCTTAACCCACTACACCACAGCGCCAGCCCTGGCAGGTAGGTTTTAATACCACCCACCTACCCTCACATACAGACCACCCTGCACAAACCAGGCCTCCAGGAACCTTCTAGATCTTCCAGTTGGACTCACAACCAGAGCCCTGTTGTCCACCTTTCTGGAGAACCAGAGCCCTGTTGTCCACCTTTCTGGGAGCCCGCAGCAGGTGAGTGACAGGAGAGGGCTTCAGTTGGAGACATCGCTGGTTCCTCACCTGCAGACGGCAGGGCAATCTCGTTATGAGTAACATTTGTTTT